GGGCAGTGGCTATCCTGTCGGTGCAAAAGGGCACTGGCATCGCAAAAATGTACAAAAGGCAAAGGGTGGGCGGATCTTGTTCCAATCTCACTGCTACAGAGTCGCGCATTCATCAATTCATTAGTGTAATCATTTGGCAAAGTGACGAGATGAATAACGGAGCAATGGAACGCGTTTTAAATTTGACATGTCTTGATCAAAAAAAGGAGGGAAGGTCAGAAGTCAAAACTCTCTTGCACTGCCTAAAAAAAAAAAAGAAAAACTTTTGATGATCGTGTCACCACTAAAAATAGTTTTTTAAGCAATGAGAAATCAAAATCGTTATCAAGAATTTAATTTTAATGATGACAAATTATTTCCACTAAAAATATATTTTTAGCAGCGATCTTGATATATCATAATTGAAAGTTTACTTTTGACAATGACGTTAATATATCAGCTAAAAGTTTATTTTTGGCGGTAATATTTATCACCACAAAAAACATTTTTTTAAAATTTAAAATAATTTATACAATTCACCTTTGGTGGTGACATTTGTAGCCCCCAAAAATATTTTTAAAAAATTATATATAATTTTAAATTATAATAAATAATTTGTAAAATTATAATTTAAATTTTTTTAAAAAATTTATGAATTGTTTTAAAATTTTGAAATTAAATGAAATCATTCAAAATATATTTATGAAATTAAATTTCTTATTTTATGTATAGAATTATAAATAAATGATATAAAGGATCATAAAACAAAAGAAATAATAAACAAGATGTGCTAAGTTTAATTATTAAATTATTTTTAATTTTTTATTATTTATAATATTTTTTAGACATATATAGCTCATATTTTTTATGAATTATGTTATTAAGCTAGTATTTTAATATGATAAACTAAAATATTGATAGTTTATTACTTTCAATTATAATTAGGTTAGGTCATACATAAATTATTACTTATATACAAATACATAAACAATATTGAAATATTAGAGTTGTACAAATGTCATGGGATACAAATGATATTTTAGACTGCTTGGCATATTGTGCACTTAATGTTTAGCTTGATATACATATGATGTCTATTCTTTTACTAAGCTTTAATGGCTTTTAGACAAGAATTCTATGTAATTCTTCATAGTATATTTAGGTTTCTATTATTATAAAAAATAAGTTACTAATAACATTTTTATAACTAATTATTACTGAGAATAATATAAATAATTATTCAAATTTACCTTATTATGAGGTTGAGGATGATTAGATATTAACTAAATTGATCACATGTGAGATTCTTGTAATTATCATATATTGTAAAAAGTTATTAGTATTTATTTTTAAAATTATTCAAAATGACTATTAAAAAAATTTATGTGGTTAAAATTAATTTTTTATTAAAATAATTTTTAAGATATTTAAAAATTATAGATAAAATATATTTTTAATAAAAGAGGGAAAAAAAATTAGCTATTATGAGAATAGATAAAAATTAATCATGTAGTTTATCAATTTTTGAGAAAATTATGGAGAAAAAAGTAAAATATATTTAAAATAAAATAATATAATACATGTTTATAAATAAATTATATACTTAATAATTTATATTTAAAAATTGGTTGTATTGTATATAAGAATATTATAAAAATTGGTTGCAATGTACATAAGAATATTATTTAATATTTAAAAATTATTTATTTTAAGTTTATTTTCCTAACAAAAATAATATTGACTGTTAAAAAAATATTTTATTAAAAATATAATTTAAGTATCCACATAAATCATTTTTTCATGTTAATGATTAAAAATAAAATATAATATATGCATATTTTTTAATAATATATTATTTGATATATGTGCATGCAATTATATAACATATATTTAATTTTGTATATAATAACTGTAAAATACATTTTAGTTTAACTAGTAAAGAAGGGAGGCTTGAGACTTAAAAAGTGGGAGAGGTCAAAGATTCAAACTTTGACTCTGTCATATTTTGTGACAAAAATGTGACATGGTGCATGGTGGTAATGTGGTGTATGAGGTAGCTTGAGGAAGCACGTACCTGGCGGATGATGTGGTACAATATGGTATGGTGTAGCACATGAGGTGGCTTGATGAGGCACACATGTGGCATGTGATATGGCATGAGGTGGCAAGGTGATATGGCATCACATGGCAAACATGTGGCCTATGACGTGGCACAGGATAGCAAGTGACGTGGCATCACATGATGCACATATGGCCTATGACGTGGCACAAGATAACAGGTGATGTGATATCACATGATGCACATGTGGCAGAGTGATGTGACATAAAATAAATTATTATTTCTTAAAAAAAGTATTGGCAACTACAAATGTCATCACTAAGTGTCTTTTTAGTAGCGACATATGTTATCACAAAAAATACTCTTGCAAAAAAATATCAGCAATAATTGTTATAGCAACAACTTTTTAGTAGTGGAAAGTCATTGCTAAACACTTTTAATGACAACTTTTAAACTTTTGATGATGACTTTTTGTTGTCACCAAAAGTCTATTTTTTGGCAATGTTATGAGTTCAGCATCCTCCATCTTACCATGTGTTTGGTTTTTAGTTTACCAAAAGTCCATTTGATTAAAGTTCATTTGATAAAAGTCAGTTTCATAACAATCAGTTATTGTAATAAAATTTATATTTTGATACATTTTTTAAAAGCCAGTTTGGTACATTGAAAGGTATTTAAATTATGATAGTGAAATGTACTTTTAAATGTACAATTATTAAAAGGACATTGATTTATGATGATTTATGATTTTTATATTATACAAATGTAATATGTCTGAAATATTTTTAAATTGTGATGATGATTTTAAGTAATATAAAATTTAATCTATAACGCTAAAAACTTGATCTCTAATTATTTATACTTTTTTTCGTTTGTAATTTTAAAGAATGTGATAAAAATTTGTAATTTTTATTATACATTAACTCTAAAAATTAACACAATTAATAATTTAATTTATAATGCTAAAAAATTAATGCTTAATTGTTATTATTGAAATAATAATTATATTTTTAATGAATTAATTATTTTTTAAATAAAAGAATAAGAAATTAAATTTGGGATAGTATGGTTAAATAATATCTTATTTTTTAAATTTACTTTTTAAAAATTTTATTATTTTAAGTTGGCCAAAAACACGTTCAATAATATTTAAAAATAATTTTTTAGTAAAGTTTTTGAAAAAAAATTAAAAATTAATAACATTTAACTTTTAAAAAGTAAAAAAGTATTTTTTTAATGTTAAAAGCTACAAAACTAAACGACCCTTAACCTTGCTTTTTACTTTTTTCAAATCGTCCTTGTTTAGCTTTGTTGATCCACCTCGTCTCCGCGTCCCATGCCCTGCCCACTTATTCTCCTGTTGTTTTTAATGAAGTGAACGATGTTAAGGGGCAAATGATAAGTGGGACTCCTGTCGAATAACGAGCCACAGCGAGATGAAAAGTGGATGGGAAAAGATAGCCACAACGAGGAAAACAATTAACGAAGTGCTCGACAAAAATAGCGCAAATTTAGCTTAATATATTCAAATATTATTTACTCGTTGACCTGTATTATTTTTTCGACCGATTCAGTAAATCTTGTATCCGGTCCATATGATGATCGGTTCTCAAGGGTTAATTGTTAAACAAAACAGGACGGGTTCTCTCGGGATTAATTAGCTTCAGGATATAAAATAATTATTTTATATTTTGTAGTCAGCAAGATTGATCATTGCATGGCGATATAATACTTACACAAGCAAGGAACATGGGAGCCCACCAGGCTACCACTCCATGTAGGAATGGTCATTCCTTTAGTGATTAGTGGAATTCTCAACTGTGAAACTCGCAGGATCGATGTGGGTAGTTTGTTAACGCACATTATCATATGTAAAGGATGTGACCGACAAAGTTTGAGATAGGCAACGTAGAACAAGACCCTCCCAAGTCACGATAATTTTGGGCCAAGGGGGCTGTCTCTGGGGGATGTGATGGGTGTGACAGTGAAGAATGTACTCTTTGATTAAAACGTAATCAATCAGAAACCGTATGAACAGGGAATACGCATCTGCAGCATCACATGATAACACGATACAAGAATGGGTGTTAATAAATGCAGCTTCATCCACAAGCTTGGTGGAATCTAACTAGTAGCTCCAATTCTATCACTCTCCTTAACGCTCTGCCCCTGCTTCTCTTCACTTTACTCTGTCCTTCAAAAGCCAGGTATCCATGAAATTCAGCCTTTAAACAGGGGTTAAACTCCAAAATGCCTCCATGATGGATCCTTTGTTATGGAGACATGTTTCTAAGGATCATTAAATAACCCAACTACCGATTTCAATTCATTAAATTTCTTTCCCTGTTTCGGTACAATTAAATTTCTTTCCGTTTAAGAAGGAAAACGGCCTATCTTCATGACATGGTCTGATGCCCCAGTCAATGCAAATGATGTTGCTTAAATTTTTTTCTTACAGGAGGGGAAATGGCCCATCAAAATTAAATAACTGGTGTTCATGAATGCCAATCATTTTCCTCAATTTAATGGGGTAGGTCTGCCACGAACAAGCGTACATGCATGGAAAAAATTAACGAGCAATCCAAATCTTAACGCCCCCCCCCCAAAAAAAAAAAAAGAAAACGAACTGTTGGGCCTAAATCCTCCTTTTGGTTTTAACTACTACAATAAACATGGAAAAAAAGATCCTAAAATGATATAATGGGGTGAGAGAGGCTCGAACTCTCGACCTCAGGATCACTCAGAAGCTATGAGACCTACGCGCTAGCCAACTGCGCCACCACCCCGTGGTAATCATGGCATCTTTTAAAAGGTTTTTAGATATAAACATTGTAAACAATGGGATGAAATCACGAATTCGACTCGCTGAAAGAGTCAACCCTTTTTCTTTTCACATCAAAGAAGCCAAAAGTAGTAAATAGCCATAAAAGTACACTGTAGACATACATGACGAATTCAGAGCCCGAACGACAAAAAAGGTCTGCAGAATCGGGAGTGGTGAGTTTGTGGGCCTAAAAGCCCAGATAGAGTCGTACTGGCACAATCGGATCGATCTTGCAAGAGAACTGCTAGATTGCTTGTTCTCCAACCTCCTGGGACGCATTTTGAAACTTTTGGCAATCTGTCATCTGAAACTGCTTCTTCAGTGCCGGTATGCAATTTTGGAGGGCCAGTCGTTTAAACTTTAAACAGTGTATGCTAATAGAGCGTCATCTGTGAGGAGTCCCCCCTGAAAGTTGAAAGAAACTAATCTCTGTTTTCCTTTTTGAGCCACCGCACGAAGCCAGACGGAAAAAAATGCTCTCTTTGAATGTTATTCCCTCACCTCCTGTCACTCTTGTCAAATCCAACCACCAATCTTCCGTAAATGCGTTTTCGCTTTCCCATCCAAATCTTCTCCCTAGGGTTCACGGCCATAAGAATTCCCAGTGCTGCAGAACCACTTCTCGGCTTCATGAAGCTAGTTCCAGGAGTTCCATCTCAACCGAGTTCCTTGGCTTCCCAGGGGGGATTCCTCTGCTCCCGACATCTCAGATCCATGATTCAATCACTAATCTAAGCCTGGCGAATAAGGCCTTCGCTAAGCCATCGGGTTTTCCCGCAAAATCTAGATTCCAAATCATTAAAGCAGCATCTGAATTCAACCCTGAAGGAGAAAGTTCAGCTCGGAATCCTAAGGCCAAGTCCTTAAAACTTGCTCTTGTTTTTAAGTTTTGGTACTTCCAAAACATTGTCTTCAATATTTACAACAAGAAAGCGTTAAACATTTTCCCATTCCCATGGCTTCTTGCCTCCTTCCAACTCTTTGTCGGGTCCGTTTGGATGCTCGTGCTTTGGTCCTTGAAGCTCCAACAATGCCCGAAAATCTCAAAATCTTTCATTGTTGCTCTCCTTGGACCAGCTTTGTTCCACACCGTAGGCCACATCTCAGCTTGTGTTTCATTTTCTAAGGTGGCTGTTTCCTTCACCCATGTCATCAAATCTGCAGAACCGGTTTTTTCTGTGGCATTCTCTTCATTCCTTGGTGATAAATACCCTATGCAAGTTTGGCTGTCGATTCTCCCTATTGTGCTTGGTTGTTCTCTGGCTGCTGTTACGGAGGTGTCTTTCAATGTACAAGGATTATGGGGGGCCATGATAAGCAATGTGGGTTTCGTATTGAGGAACATATATTCTAAACGAAGTTTGCAGAATTTCAGGGAAGTCGATGGGTTGAATTTATATGGCTGGATCAGCATTGTTTCATTGCTTTACCTGTTTCCGGTGGCTATAGTGGTTGAAGGATCTCAGTGGATTCCAGGGTATTATCGGGCAATACAAGCTATAGGGAAACCATCCACATTTTATATATGGGTTTTGCTTTCTGGGTTGTTCTACCATCTTTATAATCAATCGTCTTATCAGGCCCTGGATGAAATTAGCCCGTTGACTTTCTCAGTGGGTAACACAATGAAGAGAGTGGTGGTGATTGTGTCTTCCGTTCTGGTGTTCAGGAATCCAGTTAGGCCTCTTAATGCCCTCGGGTCTGCCATTGCTATACTTGGAACTTTCCTATATTCGCAGGCAACAGCAGCCAAGAAAGCTAAGAAAGCCGATGGTGAAAAGAGTAGCTAGAGCCTAGAGGAAAAGGGGACAATGAAAGAGTGAAATGTAGAGAAGCTGGTTGAATATTCTTGGCAATATTGAATATTTTCCCTTTAGATTTAGAAATTGATTAACTAATGTCTACCTTGTTATTTCACTGTGGACAACGGTGATGGTTTCCTCTGTTCAGATTATAAAGCTGTTTATCATGATACTGATCTATTTTTTCTTGCTGGGTTTTATGTTAGAATATATCAGGGGTTAGCTCTAACCTAACAAAGATAACTAATAAACTGAGATGAAATAGTGATTCATGGCAATGCTGATTTACTGCTGTATGGTTCACTTCATTACTGATTTCTGGTTACTTATAGTATTACATGCATGTGTCAAAATCCTATTCTTGTCCTGTTTGCTGTTATTCATTGCATCTCATCCTTGCTATTTTTGTGCTTGCATTTATTTTCTAACATGGTAGGCGTCATTTTTTTTCGTCTATATGAATCACTAACCTCAATGATCTCTTTCCTTTGTCAGCCAGTCCCAAAGTCTACACCCCGTTGCGTTGTTTTAAGTTGTCTTTTCAACAATCTAGCATTCATTTGACTTGTTGCTGGGAAGAGTTCTTTAGTTAGTAGTGCCTTTTAATTTTTACCCTTTTCACCCTATGTTTTGGTCTGTTAGATCATGTAACTTGCTACTATCAACAGTTAGCGTTCGGTTCTAACCTGTCAAGGATGTTTGAAGTTGTATGCTCTGTCTTATGCATTCTAGATCCTGCATATATTTATAAAATTACATGCATGTAGTATATTTGGAAAAAAAATAAAAATATAATGAATATAATTAAAAAAACGGTGTGTCAATTAAACAGTTATTAATTTGAGTCAAAATTATACCATTATTTTATGTCATTCTTTCTTCAAATGGGACAGCATGGAAGATCAAATTTTTCTCGTGTGTTTCAAGTAGTCTAGTGGCGTTTGGGATGCTGTCTTGATTTGTCTCCTTTCCATCTTAATTCTAGACTTTTTAGCACAGCCTCAGCATATCGTTTTTTGCCAAGTGTCTATGGGCTTTGAAGTGAGTTGCTTCTAACGTTAATTTGATCAGAGACAATCATCAAATGCCTCAGAACACAGAATTACATGTCTCACTTCATTCTTCCTTTTTTTTTTGGGCCACTTCTTATTAAAAAATTTCGAGTCACGTTCTTTCATCACGAGCACAGCGGATAGTCAAAATTTCTCTTAAAGATTCTGAGGGAGATCTATTTTTCTTGGTGAAATGATCGCGATTCGCTAACCTTATTAATTGCAAATATATGACATAATCGAAACCAATAGTGGGATTCAGAAGCTGACATAATTTCTTTAATTTTTTTTGGGAATATGACATTACAATCAGGAACTAGGCTGTGGAAGTATAGTCACAACAGTTGGACAAAAATATTGATACGGGGTCTCTGAATTTCAAGTACAGTCCATCCTTGCTGGCGCCCAATGGACTTTCTGAGCTAAGGTCCATAATTCCTATTCCTCCCTTCGGTTCAGCGAGAGAGCAAAGACGTTCATTGAGCCGATTTACGCGGTGATTGAATCAAGAAATGGGCTTTCCCTCTGCGCAAGACACGGGTCCGTACAAATTGATGCTACAGTTGTGGGTTTATCGATGCGGCAAGCTCCGATTGACATCGATACCCTGAGAGACTCCAGCGTGCGGAGACAGCGAGCCTTTTACCAATTATTGAGTTCAATATTGTGGCAACAGAGTTACGATGTAGTGATTTCCCTTGATTATAATAAAGGTTCAAAGACATGGAGGTCGGATTTTGAGCTTATACTCCCCGTCCCATCTGGTAGGTCCTCCACTGTTTCAAGGCAAATCAAGTAGATGTAGGCTATTCAGTATTCACACGCCCTTTGTGCTGTTACAGAGCCAAGGAAGTCTCAATAAATGGACCTGCTCTGGATTGTTATGTTGATTTTGGCTGTTCGCCAAACCTCCCTACAGCAGTCCTCTCTAATTTAGTTAGTCTTTCTTGCAATCATGGATTGCACAGCCTTTCATTTGCCTAGCGCTAGGCCAATTAATTTTCCACATGCAATAAACTTGAATGCTACCGATCCCAACAAAATTAGTTGTCTTCTCTTGCTGAAAATCTGTCAGCAAATTCTTCATCAGTAATCAATGCTTGAACATTATTATCAAGATTCTTTCCACTCATTCTCGCTCTAGCTGATTGCATCGCCAGAGGCCCTCACTTGTTTGGTGTGTGCAGCCACCCAGAAAAGAAATGACGTCAATGACAGGATTGTGAAGGTTAAATCTATTATGGTTCCTTTATCTGTGAATACGAAAGAAGATTACTTTTTCCCCCGGTCTTCCCCTTGCAAAGTTTGTCATGGTGTCACTATCTAAAAGACGAAACACGTTTTGGGGTGTTGGAGGAAGGAAAGATGAAGCCCAGAATAGGAAAGTCTACAAGGAAGATCGCGAAGGAGAGGTTCATAACTTTATATGGTGTTAGTTGTAAATGGAATGGGTATGCAGGGGTGGGTGTACGCTGATGAGAGCAAGGATGGAACTCGAGACAAGGGGTCATTTATAATGTCTCAGTGCGTCGTAGAATGGCTTCAAGCATAAAAGGAAGTGGATGGAAAGCCAGCTCATAGTTCTCCAACACTCAAATAGGACCCCACGTGGAGAGGACTGCCAGTTCACGGACTACCTAGCTTATGTTTTATAATCCAGTTTTCTTTTCTTTTCCTTTTTTTTTTAACATCGACCTAGGAGGTTCTTCTAGCTGTCTCCTCGTCCCTAACGCTGGCAACAAGCTAGATGTTGATTATTGATTGTTTCTTCCCTTCTCTCTCTCTCTCTCTCTCTCTCTCTGTGAATGTGTTACCCTGTTTTCTGGGTCGCTTGCAAAAAAGCCAGAGAAGGCTATTTAGCTATAGACCATGAAGGCCAAGCTCCATAACATGGGAGCGACCACGGGCAGTGGATAGATCGTCATTGAAAAGTCGGGATACTTATGGTTCTGGTTCTCACTCTCGCGGGCTTGTGGACAAGATAATGGTCTGCCATTCATAATTAAAAGTGGAATATTAGCTTGATTTTTAACAATTCTCAATGTGACCATTGACCGGTGAATGATAGGATGGTGATGGATATACCTCATTAACAGCTTTGTTCTCATCGCAGCCGCCCAATGGTTTCCTCGCACATGATTTTCTATCTTCACCCCTTAATTAACAGCTCAATTTATATTCCGTTTTGGTTTTGCTTGACTTTGGAGCTTTTCATGTAACAGTCTTTGATTAGCAGATCCAGGTTTATGAACATGGGGTCCTGTGGAAATATATAATATATTTGGTCCCAACAGAACAAGGAACTCGGGGAAACAGTCGACGGTCCAACGCATCGCCTAAGAAAAAAAAAAAAAAACCACACACACACACACACACACCCGCGATCAAACATTAGCTAACAAATGCAACGGTTTTGGAGATTGAAGAGGTCAAACGAAAAGGAAACCTGTTTTAACATTATGCTGACAGATTTTAAGTTTAACCAACAAGTGGAAAGAAGTGACAGTATCTAGAAACCAAAGCTGCCAACTCTACCATGCAACCATGGCATCTGTATTATATAATGTGTGTGCGCGGGCGCGGGCGCAATTTCTTCTTGTCGACAGAAAATGGGCCTTCATTAGAATTTGTTCTGTACTTGAAGCTTTAACTATTAAGGCTGGGTTCCAGAAGGAAGAAGCCATGATGGAGGTGTGGTGAAAGGGTGAGGGAAGGAAATGGAGAAAAAGAAAGGGGAAATTGATCGGAGGGTGGGAGAGTATATTAATGCAGAGACAGAGAGGACACACTTCAAGTGAGATAGTAACGCAGCTGTCACTCCATGCTACAAAGCCCACTTTCTCTTCCTTCCCTCTTGGCCAGCAAATTAGCGTTTGCAGCTGTCAGATCTCTCTCTCTCTCTCCTCCACTTCCCCTGTTCCTTTTTTATATTTTTCATTTCCTTTTTCCTGCTCTAAACAAATCCTTAATATATGTATCTCCTTTGTTTTTATAATTAACCAGCTTCTCTGTTCCAACTTCCAATCAACCATCGAATAATCACAATATACAACACAACACATCATCATAAATCAAACCCACCTCTTTTTCTGTGGCTCCTCAACGATTCTTGGGCTGTCAAAAAAGAAAGAGGCTGAGGGGTGGAGGCACATATAGAGCTGCGGGCAGATGCTACTGTGAGGGAATGGCAGAGAGAAGTGGAAGATAAAAGGCTTAGGTCAGGGGAGCGATAGGCCCAAGTCTTGATGCATAAACAAGTACACTCTTTTGTGATTTTGATGCCATGGCTTACCCGCATTACCGATCACAGTTCGGCGACACAACATTCACCAAAGTGTTTGTCGGAGGACTCGCTTGGGAGACTCCCACTGAAGAAATGCGTAAATATTTCGAGCAGTTCGGAGACATTCTTGAGGCTGTCATAATCACCGATAAGAACACAGGAAAGTCTAAAGGCTACGGATTCGTATGTCCCTCTGCTTTCCTTCTCTGCCTTGAACACCAAGTTTTTTGCCCCCACCCGTGACTGCGTATATACAGTCAGATTTTATAGTTGTATTCATCTTTTCATGAGCAGGTAACATTCCGTGATCCGGAATCAGCTAGAAGGGCTTGTGCTGATCCAAACCCAATAATAGATGGAAGAAGAGCTAATTGCAATATTGCTTCTCTGGGAAGACCTCGACCTTCCCCACCCCGAGGTCGTCAATTCCATATCTTTCTCTATGTCATAATGCTTGAACTATAACTTTTGATTCGAGCGCTAATATTGAAGCTGAGACTACACTAGAGTGATTGGAATGACGATGCTTGGTGGTAATGCAGGAAGGAACGTATTCCAAGGCGGAAGCACATCACAGAGTGCAGCATCGTATGGTGGCGCCCCGGCAGCAGTTCCGCCGCCTCCTTTGCCGCCGCCTCCGCCTCCGCCGGGGCCTGGCCTCATGTACCCGCCGTATGGGTGAGTACAGTTAGCTTTATTCATTTAGTGGAGGCATTAATTATCCATAACACTCGCAGTCAAAGGAAGTGGTCCAGAGTATTAATTGAGAACTGCATGTAGACGCGCGCGCGTTACTGTGTACCTATGATGCTTGACTCCTTCCCGCCCCCCCGCCCCCTCCTCCAATTACAGTAGGTATCAGTGTCAGCCTTAATATCGTAATACCAAGTACATAATTGATTGAAGCTCCCTCTCCCTTCAACGCGCTCACCTTTAATCCTCCCTTGCTCTTGCATTCCTTGGTTTCTAGTTCCTATCACCTTGCATTATTTTCTCCTTTATCTTCTTTCCTTGTTAATTAATCTCTCTCCCTTACTTTCAATTTCAAGCATGCCTTCCTTTTCTGCTCAAATCTGATTGATTATTGATGGACGAGATCAATGGTGTCTACTTTCTGTCACGTTATTTTTCAACTTTAACATAAGTTTTTTAATTTTTTTTAAGGGTGGAAGAACATGAAACATGTTCTTCCTCCGTTCTTTTTACAAGTTATTTCTATCAATCTCATGAATACCAATATAAAAAATGTATAAAAAAATGAAAGAGTGTAAAATTTTAAATATACCTCTATATAACAAATTCAAAAAATAATGTCATATTACTTTTTTTCTTAGATAATAATTTTAAAAATACCTTTTACATATTATTTAAAAAGTCACATTGTAACTTATAAATAAGATTAAATAAATTTTTTTGAATGTGACTTATAAATAAAATCGAGGGAATACTTGTTAAAACAAAATAATTATCTGATTTTGTAGTATATAAAAATATTGATATTTCATATATATGGTAAATGGTAAAAACGCAGGTTATACTGATAGCAACTACAGATCAAATAATGAGCATGTTATCCGTGGTATGAGTTGTATGGTGGTCCAGCAGTAATTCATTTTATTTATATTTTTCTCTTTCCCCTCGGCTCTCTCAGTCCTGTTCTGTACCTTCAAGTCATTTTCTCACCAGCGGTGTCATTGTTTTTTAATGAATATATATTGAGTTGGTAAAATGAAACACACACTTAAAAGCAAGAAGACAAGCTAACAAATTCTGGGACACACACCAGTGGAATTAGATCAACAATTTTTAATGCCCTCAAACTGCTTATTATTGCTCTTAAAAGCATAAATAATATAACTGAAGTAATTCTCATCTAATTTGAGCCCAGTGATGGGTTCCAAAATAAGAAGGCAACAGAACTGAGAGACTGAGGATGCATTCAATTATAGGGAAGCTCCACCAAAACCAAGGTTACCGATATTAATACCCACCACTGCACTCACTGGACTGGATTTCCAGCCGAAAGGACTTACACTTTGATACCATTCCATTAGGAGATAGAAGCATGCCATATTTGAGTCCTTGCTCCTTCATGCACCATAACCTCACGTCCTATTTTCTCACTGGATTCTTTTCAATGTTCCTTCTGCAGATACCCTCCCTACTCTCCTGATTACGGGTACCACCAAGTAAGCATCTCTCTCTTATTACTCTCCCCGTAAAATAAGAAACTTTGTAGCGGTTTTTGATGATGTGAAAGAAGTAACAGTATTAACATATGATTGGTGTTATATATGAGCACAGGCCGCATTGTACAACTCACAGATTCAGCAGCCACAATACTACCAGCAAGTGTATGGAGCTTCGTCGTCGGGCGTGAGCTCCCAGTATTACTATGGCTATTCTATGCAGCCGCCTAGGGCCTCATATTCTACGCCCCAGCCTCATCGCCTGCCACCTGGATCCTCCTATCTGTACTACCCTTACCCTTCACCCCCACCCCCACCTATGGATCTCTCCTTCTCCGCTTATCGTCCCCCTAGACAACCAACACTGTTAAGGCACCCCTTCCCCTCCCCTACTGGTACGTATCTTTCTCTTCCTTTTTAATTGTCCATTATTACATATAATAAGCAGATAGATGTATGCATACACCTTAATCAATGAGCGCAATGAAGTAGCGAGTGAGAGGGTGGGTCATTGATGGACTCACTGACACAAAATATATATTGTGGTTTGGGTTTTACATGTGGGGAATGTGGGGTCCACATGGGCAAACCCAACCCCATGTGAATGAGCTGTCTTGGTTGTGGCATCAAACTTATAATGTAAAGTGGGTCAATGCCAGAGGAAGAGGGGTCATAGCTAATGTGTAAAGTAGCAGTGAATGCATGTGGTTTATATCAGTACCCCAATGGAGTGGTTATTTCTTTTTAGATGCAGTCAAGTATGGTCTTGCCACTCATTGGCCCACAATGCATGTTACTTCTGATGGCTGTAAGTTTTTTTTAAAAAAAAAAAATGAAAGTTTTATATACATATAATTTTAGTCTGCAAGGTGGTTCATCTGTAAGCATATATTGGTTTCGAGATCAAACACTTTTTCCGTTATTTCTACATCCTGAACCTGGACTTGTTTATATACCCAACTCTAACTTTGTTACTATTTATTGTGATGCTTGGTCTCAGATTCACAATCACAGACTCAACAGCGCCCCTCCTCCGAGACCGCAGCTGGAGTAGTTACGGCAGCCTCGGAAAGTCCGAATACCCAAGGGAAAAACTAATAAATATAGACACCTGCTGAAAGTTAAGTTTCAACTGTATAATCCTCACAATTTCATCACATTAATTCTTCATTATCTTTTCCCATAATATATCAATTTATTTGTTTTTGTCCAAAGCTGTAGCTTTAGGCAATAATGGTTTGGCAGATCACATGTGCTCTCCACAGATATCGCACTCAAAAGATGGACTAATCAACAACTCCATGCAGACCTCCTAATTTGTCCCCTTACCTTTCTTTTTCAAGGACTTTTCAATTATATATTTTTACTAATTATTCAATTCCTTTTTTAAGTTACACTATTATCCCATTATAAGAGCTTATAACATCTTGCATCGACATTGTATCGTCAACAAATGAATAAGAAAGGCGTTGTCCTCGACAAGAAGCTTTGCTAAAAGCATTCATCAAAAGTCCTAGCTCGACATGATACATTGTCAGCCAATTCTATAGAGCAGATTATTGGAGTTTATGAGCTTCGGCTCCTAATTATATACTTTCTTGAGGGGACTCATTAACCCCCTTTTGATCTTTTTTCTTTTTAACTGAATCCCCTTGTGATATAAATCAATTGTTTTCTCTTTTTTATTAGGCCATTTGAAAGGTTTTAAAGAGTTGTCCATTCAGGTCAAAAACAAAAAAATAAAAAGAGTTGTCTATTCGAAATTCATACGTTTAAGCTTAAATTGGGCCCAGTGAGAGTTCAACTTTTAAAATCAAACCCTAAAACCCAATGATATACACTGAGCTACTCTAGTAATCTTCTCAGCTTTCACTGTCAAGTGTCCACTTGAGGTTAGCGGAAAGGTCACCTGAGGAAGTTAACGTGACCATGTAAGCAAACGTATCTTCACAGTTGTAGAAATATTATTTATTATTATGTATTGATGATCGAGTAACGTACCTCGACTTACCTATACAAATTATACTTTATTTATCGAACGTATAATACGCATGCAAGAGGATAAAAGCATGCACTTCATTTACACTGTTGAGTAATTAATAATGATATTTCTTTCATAACAAGAAGTAAGGATTGTCAAACATGCAAACTTAAATTTTCATAGAAGACTCATGGGTGGAATAACGATGGGTACAATGTTGGAAATACTAGACATTAATGAAAGAATCTATACATATGTTGCAAAACCTGAAATGGAAATGAAATTGAACATGCTCCCAAATGAAAGAGAATGTTGAGTGTTGGGAGCTAACTAGAAATAAAAGTAAGTTGCCCTTGATTTGAAATCCACTGCTCTGGAACTGATGCCAAGTTTGGGAGAGGCGGGCCACAGAATTTAAGGCATATCCCATCCAAGCCTAAAAACTGAAAAAGAGGACATACAGGAGAAAATAATGAGCCTCTCAATAAAAAGGCTCTTTTCATTCAACTGTAATATTCTCCAGCCACCTATCATTGCCCTATTTTCCCTCTTACTTCTCCCCCATTCCAAACTCTCATTAGCTTCCAATCTATCCAGTGTGGGGTGCATTCGCTATAAAAGCCCCGAATTCTGATAAGCTCCAACATGCATCGCTCTGATAAAATCAAAGAGGATAATTTAGGTAGGAGATGAAGCCCTCGGATACGATATGTAGCTCTCGTTACCTCCCTTCTTCACGTGACGATCCTACTGATTCCAATCTCTTGCCTGCCATGAACCGTAGCTTTCATCAGCTTCAGCCTCTTCCTCTACTGAGCAGCCTCCTCGGTTCAACTCCATTTAGCTCAAAACCTTACCCTACGACTGACCATGATGTTGGCGAGGAGGATGTCACAGTAGCCTTACACATAGGACTCCCCCACAATTCCAATGCTGCTTCTTCGGGTCCAAATGGAATCATCAGTGAAGCCCAGGCACCCAGGAACTACTGGATACCAACCCAAGAACAAATACTCATCGGATTCAGTCATTTCTCTTGTCCTGTCTGCCTCAAAACCTTCAACCGCTACAATAATCTCCAGGTACAGTACTTTTGTTGAACAATGCATGTAACTTGAAACGGGACTGGAACGAGTGAAATGACACATTCCTTATATAGTAGCACCATTATTCTAGCTAGTTCACTTATATTGCTGACTGATGAAAATGGTGGGGATTGAAGATGCATATGTGGGGACATGGATCACAGTACAGAAGAGGGCCAGAGTCGCTGAAACGAACACATCCGAGGCCGTTGTTGGACGTTCCATGCTACTGTTGCGCAAGAGGATGCAGGAACAACATAGAGCACCCGAGGGCAAAGCCTCTGAAGGATTTTAGGACGCTGCAGACACACTTCAAGAGGAAGCACGGAAGCAAGCCCTTCATGTGTCGCAAGTGTGGGAAGCCTCTGGCTGTGAAAGGAGACTGGCGAACTCACGAGAAGAATTGTGGCAAGCGATGGCTTTGCGTCTGTGGCTCTGACTTTAAACACAAGAGGTCGCTTAAGGACCATATCAAAGCATTTGGCTCTGCTCATTACCCTCTCTCTTCTTCCTCCGATGCCATCTGATGATTCATTAACCACTTAATTTTCCATGCATTTTATTTTCGTCTTCCTCGACATTGACCACTTTGTTTCGAGGTATGCACCCTTGTGTTACCTTCATCAGTTTTCAAGGTCATGAAAGCGGAAGACCTTATCAGATTCGTGCTTTTGCCAGCAATTAATCATCATTTTCTTTCTTGGCTTTTAACATAGAGCATATTTTAATATTTAATTTATAGATCATTAAATAACTGAATCACCTGATATGGTTAAAAACTAATGGAATGAACGTATCGATCCAATGTATATGCGAGGGTTTGGATAGCCTGCTCTCGACACAAAAACTAGTTCGCCAGACAAGTATAGGCTCATGATGTAAATGAAGTTCAACTACCAATCGCTAATCAAGGGCCGGAGAGAGTTTGATTTGGATGCTCATCAATGTCATAAGATCTGAACCATTCAGATTTTGATTTGGATGGTCTAGATTTAACCCATTACTATATACTATATTTTAAAAGAAAAATTATAAAAATTATAAAATAATTTTAATAAATTTTTTATTTGTAATATGATATAGATTTAATTTACAGAGTTCAATTTAATATTAAAATTTTTATAATTAATGTATATTGACTATCCAAATATACTTTACACAGTCTAGATTAATATCAAATTAAATTAGACTGTGTAAAATATATCTGGATAATCAATATATATTAATTATAAAATTATAATATTAAATTGCACCCTCCAAATTAAATATAGACCATATTAAAAATAAAAAATTTATTAAATTATTTTATAATTTTTATTTTAAAAAACATAATATATAATATGGGTTAAATTTAAACTATCCAAATTAAAATCTAAACAGATCAAATCTAATCACTATGATGAGCACCCAAATCGGGTCGGGCTAAAGATCTGGGTTAAAAAAATAATTATAAAATGTCTATTTTTTTAAAAAAAAACATTATAAGAATGATCAGACATCTATTGTACTGTGCAAAAAATTTCAGCAATAAAACTTAACAACTTTATTTTATTTTATTTTTCGTTTTGAAATTATTTATTTTTGCTGCAATTCTCACAATAACAGTGCATAACACATTGGTTCTTTTTACCAATTTCCCCTCATTTTATTAAGACAAGTTTTAGTCCAGGCCCAGCCTCACAAAACAAGAGAAAAACAGCCTGTAGGCCCGTCTCCGTAGACGCCAGCCTGGTTTGTAAAAGTGTTTTTGCTCTGCAGGGTAAAAAAAGCTTGAGTAAATAGAGATCTAAAAACTCACAATAAAAATATAAAAAATAAAAAAGGTCCTATGTTAAGCGGAGTTTGAGGAGAGAGTTGGGTGAGTGTGTAGAGATGAGAGGCCCTTTGTTTTCTTTTGTAGATGCGCTGGGTGAAAAATTGATCCTGAGCATGAAGACGATAGAATTAAACAAAATTTTTTCTTTCTTTCTTTCTTGGAATCAAATGGAAAGCTCATTCAATTGAATGCAAACCAACAAAAAACAACGAAGAGTAGAAATAGCTCAACAGGAGAGAGAAAAACCCAACCTACCAAAAAGAAAACAAAAACCTAAGCCGGAGGGAATACATCATAAAAGTTAAAACTATTGGAAAGATTGTGACACAACTTAATAAGATAGTCAATCTCCCTATTATCTTCTCCCTACACAAAAATAAAACTGTGCGTGCGTGCGTGCGTGCGAACCTTTCACTGAGTGGATGGATTATGTAAGCCAAGCCCATTAAAATTGCACTGTTTTGAACGATTAATTAATCAAACTGGAGCAGGTGCTAGGTGTTAATGATTTCATTTGGACAATCCAAATTTAAATTTTTTTTGTTTCTGTTAAAATAAAAAGTTGTAAAAAAATGATAAGTTCAATAAATTTGTTTATTACCAACTGTACAATCTTAATTTAATTTAGATTGTCCAATTTTCATATTAAATTTTTTTATAATTTTATAAATTCACTATTTAGATTTATTATCAACAATTCAAATTTAAAATTTTAGTTTGCAATTTTTTTTTAAAAAATATATTTTTTAAAAGTATCAATTAGGATATTATCTTTATTTTTATTACTATAGTTATTAAAATAAAAATTTACAAAAGTTTAATATTAAATATAGACTGTTCATATTACATTTAGATAATTAATTTATAAAAAATTTAATATTAAATTAAATTACTTAAATTAGATGATATATTGGCCCATTGGCTGAAAAAATCTTATACCTAAAAAACATAGATCAAATTTTTAAAAATTTGAAACTGTGGTCAATTGACACTGATATACTAAGAATTTATTATTAAAAATTTAAAAATTTATAAAAAAATTTATTATTGATATATAATGATATATTATTGACAAATATAATAAACTAATCATAATGTAAAATATAATAAACAGTGAGTTATTTACTTAGTTTATTTATATAATATAGATTATATTTGTAAAAGCCTCTAAATTTAATCTACGCTATCTTGATTGATAATAAATTATTTATTAAAAAAATATACATTTTTTAATAAATATAAAATAAAGAATAAAATTAAAAAAAATAAATTTACATCATCCCAATTAAAATTTAAATAGTCTGAATCTACTCATCATCAAGATCGGAACATGTATGTTGTAAAATATCCTCCACTTTTTCTTCAAAGTATGAGTCTTCGGGTTACCCGGTGTCACATTATTTTTATTCCCCCACACACACACACATATATATTTATAGGCAACATTAAATGAGTCTAAACTTTAAATTATATCCATGCTCAATGCACCCTTGCTCGTGACACATCCTAAAGACTTAAGGTGTGTTTGGTTATAAAAAAGTGGAGATGTTTTAAAGGAAGAAAGGGAAGAGATTTGATGTTACTTGTTTGGTGCAGGAGCAAAGGAAAGAAAAAATAATTATATACAAATAAATTTATCCTCATTTTATTAGTATTGAGATATTAAAGAAGTGTATTTGTAATTTTAAACTTATCACAGAGAGCATATTAATTAGAATATAAAAAATTTTATCACTCCTCTCCAAACTCAAGGAACGGATATTTTATAAAATTTTCTCCTTTTTTTCCAATTTTTCAAACTAAATAAGAAAAGAAAGCAAAATCTCTCCCTTCTGCTTCAACCAAACGCTCCTTACTTACTGCACTGATTTCCTTCATATAAAAAAACTAATCTTATGGTTAAACCGGATGTTCGGGTCGGATTTTGATATCCACAGTTTATTTAACGCGGCAGCGAGGAGGCGTCCCAAGTCCTGGCATTTTGATTATTTTCCTTCCTGACCTCTCTTCATCACCAGCAACATGGAAGCCCTCGATCACCAACACTGTCCAAAATCGCCTCAATCTCCCTCCTCTCCAACATCTACCGTCTCTACCGGCACTTGTTGCAAATGCGGCGGCCCCACGACCTTCCCGCCGCCGCCGCCGTCGTGGTCTGAAAGTTCCCCACCTCCCACCTATCGACCCATCAGAGCCCCTGCTATTCCTCCCGATACTAACACACAACGTGCCATCATTCTGGCTCCAGTCCCACAAGCCCAGAAAGTCCCTGTCGTTTCCCCTCCCTATTCTTTTCAAAACCCATCCAAGAAAATTCAATCCCTGCATGATATTCGCCGCTTCCAGGACTCCGATTCCGGCAAGAATTTCCTTGGCTTCGTCGTTGCTCTCTCCGAATCTATTCGCGGCCACAAAATATCGGACCCCTGCCATCAATCTGACACCGTCAATTGCATCGTCGGAATTCTTGATTCCCTGATTCAATGGGTCGAAGAAATCCCTCCTGTCCAGCAAGCCGCCCGTTATGGTAACATCGCGTACAGAACTTGGCACAGTCGATTGGAGAGCAACTGTGACTCCTTGATGCTTCGCTTTCTTCCGGAGCAACTTCATTCGGCAGCTATCGAGATCGGTCCTTATTTCAACGATAGTTTTGGTAATTCTAGCCGAATCGATTACGGCACTGGTCACGAAACAAATTTTGCGGCCTGGCTGTATTGCCTTGCGAGGTTGGGGCTAATCAAAGAGGACGATTACCATGCTGTGGTTGCTAGGGTTTTCGTGGGGTATCTGGAATTGATGAGGAAATTGCAATTGATTTATAATTTGGAACCTGCTGGATCCCATGGAGTTTGGGGTCTTGATGATTACCATTTTCTGCCTTTCATATTCGGGTCGTCCCAGTTGATCGACCATAAGTATATGAAGCCGAAGTCGATTCATAACCAAGATATATTGGATAATTTTTCGAATGAGTATCTCTACCTTGCCTGCATTGCTTTCATAAAGAAGGTGAAGAAGGGTTTATTTGCGGAGCACTCTCCAATGTTAGACGATATCAGTGGGGTGCCTAATTGGAACAAAGTAAATAGTGGGTTATTGAAGATGTACAAGGTAGAAGTGTTGGAAAAGGTTCCTATAATGCAGCATTTTCTTTTCGGCTGGCTTATTAAGTGGTAAGTCCTTTATATCATTGGTTCAAAAAATTTTGTAGTTTTTTTGGGCCCAAGTTTGTTGTAGTTCTATCATCACTGCCTATTATTATCGTTACTGAAATATATTACTTTCGAATTTGTGGAGGTTGAGCCGTTGAGATCTCTTAAACATAGTTGTTATTGGAGTTAGTATCGACTAGACACTGGGCATATGAATTTAGCTTAAATCACCAATAAGGAAAATCCCGTGATCATTATTATTAAGAAATAGTTGTTACAGAGTCAGTTTGCCTGTTCTTTGAATTAAAAGCAAACACAGACACTAGTTGTATTTGATAAAGTAACATCTAGATGAAGTATTTTTGCTCGTTTTTCTCTTAGCTGATTGTCTTCGTACCTCTGAAAAAAATGTAATGAGAAATGACGGATACTTTTAAATGATTATAATAAGAATATAGTAAACATTTTATATTAAATTAGTGCCTCATTTTTCCATGATACCCATTCCCTCCGACTTTGCCTTGTGTTACCAAACATGCTCTAGAGGGGAGGCACAGAAAAGTGAGAGTTTGGGCGGACTTAACTAGGATGGCTTTTACATGACACCTATGGATGTTATACATGAAAACCTGATCGTTATTGCTTCTGGGCTCTGATTTGCTTCGTTTTTGCTTTTCATGTGGAAGACCTTTCATCAGCCTAGTGTAAAACTGATCAAAGACACTGGGATTATGCCTTTTCTTTGGAAATAACCCAGCTTTAGGTTTTTTTCTGCCAAAAATAATGACCTCCGGATCCTTCCTCTATTTTGTTTTCAAAGCTTGTTTTGTTTCCACTGGAGCTTGAAAAGAGTGTGATTGTGTTTTCGAATGAATTGATAGGCAACATTTGTGACCTTTCAGACTTATATATGATGATGTGGTGTCGCTCAGGCCTTTCGTAATTTAATAAAGCTGCTGGAATTTTTATATTTGGGCCCTGCTGTTGCTGGGGCCTGAGCATTAAATTGATGTTTATAACCTTTTTCCTGCTGTCATAAACATCTTTTTCTTGGTACCGACGTTACAATATTTGTGGAATCGGCTGGATAATTAGACATGGTATTTATTTTTCCCTCCCTTGGTCTAACTGTATATCAAGAGTTGAGTCAAGTCGTGTGTGCACAGCTTAACATTTCTTACCTTTTTCTTGGGATGATTAAGGTGTGCTGTGCATCATGGTCTTTTAATTTTCAACCTTCATGTTTGATAATATGTTTTTGTGTGACTGGCTGAGATTTTCTGTGCCTGTTTCTTGCTTCTGATATTATCTCCCCCCCCCCTTCTCTTGCCAGGGAGTAGTTCATGGATGCACTTAACTGGGTTGTTTCTGTTGGATCGAGGTGAAAGTCAGGTTGCGTGGTGAAATTCAGGTTTAATGAATTTATGAATTAGGAAATTAGAAGGGGTCATATTCGTAGAAGGCTGCTTTCGTGAATCCTCTTTTGCACCTTTTTTTTTTTTTTTGTGATTCCCTAGATGCTCTATACCCCGTAACCAGAGTGCCAGTTTAGTGTTTACTGGCAACCAGCTATTCTAGATATAACTTGTACTGGTGGGAGTGAATAATAATTGGATGGAGTTTGTTTATTTTGATGCATGAGAGATGATTGTTTGAGGCTTAGTAATGCTTCACGTCGATGGATACTTACACTCTGACGACAGATTATTTAGCCAACTACCACGCTGTTTATCTTGCAATGGAGCTTAGACCTCTTTCTCAAACTTTGGAATGAACAACTGAGGATTAATAATGTACTTTATTGTTATTACGTATCAATTCAGAATGTTGTAATAACAAATATCAAATTTATCGCAATGCATGAAATATGATATTTGTCTACAGAAATTTTATTATGATTTGTGCATTTATTTTTGTTGGAAATATGCTTGTGCATTTAGGTTTTGCAGACATTATAGATAGCTAGATACCCAAGCCTCATGCGTCGCCCGGATTGAGGCTAGAAGCTGCATTGTTCGTGATTAGCTTTTGCGCACACACTATTCTATATAGGAATCAGTGGGAATCGATAGCCGGTCGATGCTTCTCGTGAACGGTGGCGACATTCATTTTCTTGCTTTTTCCTTTTTGAATGTGCACTGGAAGCTTCATTCAAAAAAGAACAACCAAAGAGTACAAATCACTTATCAAAAAAAAAAAAAAACAGAAACAAAACCAACTCAAACAGTGCTCAAGTGTTGTGTCAGTGGTCCACCTCATATGATGGTTGTGCCAATTGTTCCAAATAGAGGTTTTATGCTTATAGAGCCAGTTTATTTCAGTTTATTTTATAAAAACAAATCACTCATTAATTTAAAAAAAATTATTTTATGAATTTTTATGTTGTTTGTTTGAACTTTTAAAAATAATTAAAATAAAATTTGATAAAAATATATTTATAATTATTTTAAAAAATTATTGAGTACTTTTTGTGAATAATTTGATATGATAGAACAAAGAAAATGTTTTAAAAATGTAGGATAGATGAAAATATCATTAAACTTTAAAATAATTAAATAATAAATTATTTTAGAAATTAAAAATTAATGAAAATATTATAAAATTTAAAAGTGGCTATCACACCCGTAATATATGGTGCAAACGGTACTAGCTTGGGAGTGTCTTTTATACAAAATATTTCAAATTCACTGGGCGATAATGGGGCGTGCACATTTTGCATGTTATATGGGAGTGTATCTTTGCACTCCTAACTTCTCTACCTCAGGGGATTATCTTCTTCTTCCTTTTTAATCGAAATCAATGCTGAGCTTGTGACATCATTCAAAATGAGTTAACTAATGTTGAAGATTCAAATGGGTAACTAATTATTTTCAGAACCTGTGAACACTTAAATCGCATGCGAATTTTCAATTATGACTATGCTTTGTTTACACCTTTAAATACAGAGATTGGAAATTTACAAAATATGTTTTAATTATAATTCAGGACGTCGAGGGATGTTGATAAAATATTGTTTTAATCCAAATATTAACAACTATAGCTAAACATTTATATGATTCAATTAAAGATGCAAGGATGCTGTCTATTTTCGGTAATATTATGATATTTCTAATGTAATGTGTGAAATATTATAGAAAGATATAAAATAATAATATTCTATAAACTAATGTACAATCATGTCCTAGACGGCTAAATCCCCTCAAATACTGGGATTAAATCCCAAATGAGTTGGCTAATAAATCATACACAGTTTACTATAAATTATTATATATACTCTGAGAGATTGCAGTATATAATTTTTAGTAAATAATATTACTTGTAAATCTATAAATTATAAATAGCGTGGGTTAATTTGTTGTTAAAAGTGTGGTTTATATGTCTCTCTCTCTCTCTCTCTCTCTCACACACACGTCTTCTCATATTAATGTCAGTATGAATTTTTTTTTTCCCGGCCTGACAGTATGAAAATATAAGAAACATATAAGAAGCTGATTGTGTGTATATATATGTATAAAAGAAATTAATAATATGTCATTCATAAGTGTAAAAAAAAGTATTAGTTCTTTCTACAAAGTAATGTACTACTAGTCTCCAGTCTCCACTGAACAGTAAACTAGAGCTGTAAATTCAAGCTGGCCAAACCCTCCTCTTGACTCTTTAGAAAGTTTGAATAGTAAAATTTGTTTTGAATTTTTTCAGACAGTCTAAATACTCAAATTTTATTTTTAAAATTATTTTTAATTAATCTATTATTTTAAAATTAATTATTTATTTTATTAAAAATATAAAATATATGTTCTTGATACTTAAACGAGATTCAAATATATAATATTTTAATATAAAATAATATAAAATTTAAACAATTAATTAATATTTATTATATTTTATATATTTTTTAAAAATAAAAATTTTTATCCGAGTATTTAAGCTAAGCTTAAATTTGATCAGGGTTAACCCAAATTTTTTCAAACTTATTCAGACAAATTCAAATATAAAAAATTATTTTTTTAAGTTTGATTTTAAATTTTTTCGCGCTAGCTTAGGTCGAGTAACATACTCTATGGCCCCGTTTGGTATGATTGAATAGTTTTTGATGAAATTGAAATTGGAATTAGAATCAAAATTGGAATTAGAATTAGAATAGAATTGAATTATAAAAGTATGTTTGGTATGTCAGAAAAATTAAATGGAATCCTTGCATTACTTTTGTTTGGTATGCAAGACATGGAAATGGAATTATACTTAAAAAACAAAAATACCTCTATATAAAAATTAAAATAAAACATAATAAAAACTTAATTGTGTACTAATTTTCTTATGTATTTTATATATTAATAAAATATTATATAAATTATAGATTATATCGGTAATTATTATTCACTAGCTTGGGCCAAATAAAAAGTTTTATCATTAAAGGAAACGTTTTCTTGAAAATAAAATTGACAATGGTTCCACCCCTTCTACTTTAAAATAAATACACTAAATGGAGATGAATTTTCTTTCCTTAATTTATGTTACACGAAATGACGCAAGTTTGTGCAGTACTCCCGCTTGCTCTAAATATTCACGCAGGGCCCTTTTGAGTAATTTGCCTTGATTTTTTTATATAAGATCCACCAGTATTAAATGGTTTTTAAACTGAAATACCCCTAATAATTACCGTCAAGCTTAATTTCTCTAAAAAGTCATTATTGGTCAAGACATTTTGAGGGCAAAATTATCTTTCTGAAATTTATATGAGAATAAAATTATCTTTCTTGATTCCATAGCTTTAAAGAAGGAATTCAATTTTGTCTATTTTTATGGAAATAGGATTCTTAAGAATTATAATTTATATCTATCAAATATCACTTTATTCAAATTTTTATTCCAATTCTATTTCTATCTTCACAATTTAAACCGATCAAACATGGCCTTTAGTAGACAGACTCGTCTCTTTGGATTGGGAATCGCCTGGTCGCCCTTCCTATGAATTACCGAGTAGCGACTCGTGTCGGTGCCTCTCTTCATCAAAACCCTTTTCCCATTTCTATCCCTCCTCCCCCGTTTGCCCTCTGCAGTTTTACTGCGCATGCCTGCTTGGAATTTACCCCTGGCCACGTCATTGACATCCCCGCTCCTTTTTCTTGTCAAAGTCCTCCTTTTTCATGACAGATCTGTACTTTTGCATAGAAGTTCATTTTACATTTAATTTTTATTAATTAATAGTTAATCAGTGTTTTCTTTTTGTTTGTTTTTGGCCCTGTCAAATGTCAATCTGTGTTTACGGAGTTCTCAGTCTTGAGTGTTGCAGTAAAGCTTGGATCTTTTCTGGTTCCGCTGTCATTTCATTTCCCTCTGGGAACAATTAATCTTTTTTTTTTGCTTAAATTCAAAAGCGCCACTCTACTCTCCCATCTTGTTTTTTTTTTTTTTTAACCTTGATCCTGTGTCTACTCTACACGTATTTCGGGTTTGCACTGTGTCTTTACTCTCCTCTGGTTGGGAGTGGTTGCATTCAAGCTTTGGGTAGTTGGGTGGATGGCTCTTGTTTTTTAGTTTTTCCCTTTCCCTCTTATCTTCTTCTCCCTCTCCTTTTCCCGGCGCATGTGCCGGATGTTGCTTACTCTGCGTAATTCAGATTCTAGAAGAGTTTTCTCATTGCCCAAACATTACGCCTGGTAAACCCTTTTTCCTCCTTGGCGCATGTGACTTTTATTCTCTCTCCGGGCTTCTTTCTTCTCTGTTCTTTAGTACTTCCATGCTCTGAAAATGAGTCCAGAGAGGAAGTAGAGACTTCAAATCTGAGAACCCCGGCGTTTTTTGTTTGGTTTTTCTTGCACGGTTCGGTTTTACTCATAGCTCTGAAAGGAGTTCAATTTCCCCCTCTATTCCAAGTCTTGTGAGCAATTTACTGGGGTTTTCGCGCTGTTGGCCACCGACTTGGATTGTATAACGTTGCTCTGTTGAAAAGGGGGCAAAAAGTCGCTCGCGCTTCAATGTTCTAGTCGATACCAAGATTTCTTATTTTGTTGAAAAGAAATACTTCGATCTTCTTGCCAATCACTTAAGGGGGGTAAATGCGCAAAGCTGCGAATCTTTATTCGCCTCCTATCTGCCCTGCTTATTTTGGGCTCTACAAAATTCGGTTTTCTTCTTGCCCTCTTCCAATTTTCAATCTGGTCTAACCCTTCCGGGAAACCACTTGCTTTACCGGTTATCGAAGTCACGTGTTTGAGCAAATCAATTGCTTCCCTGTGACATATCTTTGAATGCATTTGTGTGTCCGTATGTTTATTTCACTTCCTATTTGCCTATACGGTGTTTCTTGTTTTGCAGGAGTCGCTTCGTTTCTTGTTAATGCGGACGAGTTCTTCGAACTGAATTAGAAATCTAACAAGACACCGTTTTCTTTGCTGTTACGGGCAGATTGGATGGCAGTGGTAACTGAGTTTCGAAGTTGGGATGAACTGATTCCAGATGCACTGGGGCTAATCTTCATTAATCTGCCGCTGCTGGAAAAAATGACGGTAATCCCCAGGGTTTGTAAATCGTGGGCTAAAGCTGTCACCGGACCTTACTGCTGGCAGGAGATAGACATTGAGGAGTGGAGCAACCGTTGCCAGCCCCACCAACTCGACCGCCTGCTTCGCCTGCTCGTTACCAGAAGTTCTGGATCTCTTCGCAAGCTCTCTGTTTCTGGTCTACAAACCCATTCCATTTTCACTTTCGTTGCTCAAAAGTAAGACATTTTGTTTCCAAATTTTTATGTGGTTACTATATATTCTCACTCTTATATTGCCGCTGGCTACAGTCCTTATTGGGTTATACTGATATCCTCCTTACTGGTACACTGTTTCATGTCTCTTGGACTAGAAGAACTTCGAATTAATGTCGTAGTAATTGGATTGGTGTCACCGTCCAATTAGCATATCTTCTTACATTTTTTCGATCATTGTTTTGCAAGTGCCGGGTCTCTCCAGACTTTGCGAGTGCCGAGGAGTAATATGAGTGATTCCATAGTTGAAGATATTGCTGGAAGGCTTTGTATGATTTCTTTCTTGGATGTGAGCTATTGCATTAAAATGGGTGCACATGCTCTGGAGATAATTGGGAAGAACTGTAAGCTACTGGAAGGGCTGTGTCGCAACATGCATCCATTGGACACAGCAGGAAAGCCCTTCCAAGATGATGAAGCCTTGGCAATTGCCTCCACCATGCCTAAGCTCAAGCATCTTGAGATGGCTTACCATCTCATCAGCACTGAGGGTGTCCTTCGAATACTCTCGGTTTGTCCTAATCTTGAATTTCTGGATCTGAGGGGCTGTTGGGGAGTCAAACTCGATAATGTGTTCCTGAAGCAGAGTTTTCCAAAACTCAAGGTCTTGGGTCCTCTTGTTCTGGGCTATTATGAGAGGGAAGACTGGGACGATTGCTCTGATTTCTCGGATGCTTCTGAGTATTTGTCCTGGGAGTTTGTTGCTGGCGATGTGGGTGGCTATGATGATGAAAGTGAGAGTTATGATGGGATGTGGGACGATGAAGGAAGGCTGGAGGAGCTTGAGTTGAGGTTCTATGAAGGAATTGATGATGCAAGAATGTATTGGCCTCCATCTCCTTAACGTGTATTTCTATCTCTCGTATATTGCATCTTCTCCTACTTTCTAGGATTGATGCTTCTTTTTTTTTTTTTTTTTGGTTGACTTTTTTTATGCCCCATCAATATGTATTGCCATGACAACGAAGCAGTTTCTATTGACCTTCTTCCCTGTCAGGACTTAGTATTTCTTTCTTCATAAACCTAACTAAAATGTATTTAGCATCTGGGCTGCCAGGCAAGGAAAAGAAAGGTCTCAAATTGATATGATTCTCGGTGGTTCGGGGCCACGGGAGTCACTGGAAGAATACGCTGCCCTGTGAAAATTAGTGCTTCATACGGCACTTGAGTAATGACAGTCTTCTGGAGTTATGAGGGTACCTTGAAAATATCCGAAGGATGGAAACTGTTGGGTTTGAAATTGGAGGGGATAGCTACCCCACTCGGTACTATTGTGTGCTCACCTTGAAAGATATGTGGGGTTATCACTTTCGGGGAACAAAAATATCGACTTGTTTTTATTAGATCGAAAGGGGAAGCAGTGGTTTGAGGAATGTGAGGTTTGGTTAGGTCGTGTTACGGCTGATTTAACCCCCGTGTTCAGCAAGTTGATCCATGACTTCATTTCAAGCATGCCCGTGATTTTTTTCTTGAATGCTTAAAAATGAACGCCATCTTTTCAGCCTTGGGTTGCCACTGGGTTAGTGAATAGCCCCATAACGGTCAACATTGCATGACATTGTGGCCTGTAAACAATCTACTCTTTTCATTCCTGTATATCTTTTCATTCCTGTATATAAGAAATTTTTTAAAATTTTATATTGTCTCTATCTATAAAATGTTGTTAATATATTTTTTTAATGAATGAACTATTATATTTTTATTAAATTGAAAAGATAAAAAGATAAATACTTTCATTAATTTATTTTAAAAAATTCACTTTTTACTTACTGTAATTAAGAGTAAGATTGAAACATTATTGTGTTTTTAGTTAGATAATTAATTTTTATTAATTTATATAATTTAATTAAAAATATTTTATATATAAAAATAGAAAAAGTATTTATTGAAGGAAGAATATGTCCTGGTCAAGACAAAAAAACAAAAAATGTGGCGCTGGCCTTGCGTGCCTTTGTTTTTGTTGCTTCCACTAAGAATTTGGCGCTCTGGTGAAAAGGGTTCTGTTTTTAACCTCTACTGGTACCGTAAAACTGACCAGTTTGTGTAAGCAGTAGTACTAATACTCAGTCACCGTACTTTATTCCCTGGGCCCGTCGAATTCATTGCTGGATGAATCCACCATTTTAATTTTTAAATTTTAAAAGAACAGAGAAAGGACAGGTAAATATATATATTAAGTATCAACCAAAAAAACATTTTGCAAAAGAAGGTGAAAAAGGTCCCATTCGCAGTTGAACTCCAATAATCTCAGGGAATCATCCTAGTTTCTGACAACTCTCATGACAACAGCCTTTGATGCCTTGAAAGGTGCAAAAAGTTACCGCACAACTGCTCCTTATTCCTGTTCCGTTACTGATTAGAACTGTTAAAACAAAAAAAATCAATTATCAGTGATGCAAACTAATGAATGAAATGGCATAGAACACGAATTCTCCCGAGGGTTTTGCTGCCCCTTGGCTTACCGCCAAGTATGATTTGACAAGATCTAGAAGCGGGGAATATAAATGGTTGATGCCATTGTTATGCTGGGTTTTGATGTTCCCAGAAATGTGTCCAGTGAATGTTTGTTCATGTTGATTTCTGATCTCAATTTTGTTCACAAGTATCCAACGTTTCACCCTAGGTCTAACTTTCCGATTACACCATAGTTAGCAGTCACATGATTACATGTGCTCAACGTTTTTAGATCTTGCAGCCTATTGCGATTTGGACCCATCCTTTGAAAATTGTGTCCGACCATTCTCTCGAAAAGCCTCAGTTAATGGCATTAAAAATGGTGGGGCACGTGTCCCTTCCTTTGCTTTAAAAAATTACGCACTCATCGTTGATTATCAGTGACTTGGAGATTTGGATTGTAGTAGGGTGTTGGGTTGCTTCAAGAAGAGGCAAGTCAATATTTCTTAAAGCATGTAATCATGAATTGGGAGGGTTTGTAGTTTGCATGAGGAGCTTGCGTTGTGTGTGAAGCGAAGAGCAGAGGACCACCAGAAGGCACAGAAGGGGGGGGTCTCTTAACTGTGTTTCATGCATATGGAGATGTCTGCTTCCTGTGAACAGATTCGAGGGGCAGGAATATACATATTTGTCCTCTGCCCTTATTCATGGTGCATCAACCTGTGGTCCCGTCAGGCAAACGACCCAACCCATTATTTACTCATTTACAGTCGCAGTCACTCGCATTGTCACTCCTCTTCTTTCTGCCATTCTCTTCCTTCACAACATTGCTTCCCATCGTCAAGTTTACCCCCCCAAACTAAACCAGCGCATTGAGGCTCTTCTTTTGAGACACCGTGAAACGATGCTTTCAAAATTCAATTTTGTGAAACCATTGTCCATCTCCGATGTGTGAGATTCTTAACTTCCTCACAAGTCACAAACCTGTATGCGGAAAGATTAACAATATATTTTCTTCCTTCTTTGATAGGAAAATATCGATAATACATTTCATTAGATTGTATTTGTTAAAAAAAGATGCATTTTGTCCACGATTAGTTATTCTAACAACAATACCACCTCCTTTATTTAGAAGAGGTCCTAGATTTGAACTCAATGTTAGAATGCATGTGTCTCTCTTTCCCATGTGAAAGGATTGGGTTAAGGATAAAATTTTAAAAAAGATACATTTTTTCTAAAAAAAAACGGAGAAATTTGAATAGTAAGATATGATTAAAAATGAAGCCATTAGGAAAGTTTGTTGAGAGAAAAACTTTGAGGTAAACCAAATGTATCACATTATTTGTAATCTTTTCAATAAAAATATAATGTTCAAGTGACATTAAATACAAATTGAGTCACATTAATGATAGCATGGTGAAAAAATGTAAAACATTAAATATGCCTTCTATTATAAAAATAAAGTCAATTAAAATATTATCACATAATTTTTTTTAAATGACTCAGGAGTTAAAATATTTTAATTAAATAAATTATAAATAATATGTTCCACCGTTTACCCAAACTATTTAAAAATTTCTTCTGTTGAGATTAGCTAGTGTTAAATTTCTTTAATTAGGCCCAGCCTAAAAGGCCAAAAAACTCATAAATTTTTAATGTAATATTTTTTTATTTTTGTTTTTTGCTATTTACATATTCCAAATAGATGACCATCAAATAGTTTTAAAAGTCAAACAAGAGATTTGGTCACAGTGAACGTTAACTAAGGAATAAAGATACATTATAGGCATGATGTTTGATACAGGCTAAAATTCAGGTTTTAAAAATCAGATTGGGTTGGATAAGATAATAGTTTAAAGAATAATGATTTGACCGTAGTCAAATTGCTTATGATTTATTTAATATTTTTAAATTTTAAATTTTTAAATTATATATATATAAACCATAAAATAAATTAATTTATAATCATAAAAACTAGTATTTGAATAAAAATATTCATTAAAAAGATAAAGAAAATTTATAAGCATAAATATTAATAGTATTAATTAATAAGATTGTTTTTTTAAATAACATTTAATAATATTAAATAAATGTTTCCCCATTCGTCTTCCCCCCTTACTGATTCCGTGTTTAATTACGTTATTAATATAAATAATAATATAATATAATAACAAAATCATTATGATGCTTTCACGTGGAGAGAGGAACATTCCTTAATCTTTAATATCCATTGTACTGGATCGTTAGGCAAAAAGGAAACCCCCCCAATTCCCATCGTCTTTATCTTTCCTCCTCTTCTCTCTCTATCGTCGCCCTGAAAACTGTTTGGAATGCCACAAATCGCCATTCATTCCATCTGAAAGCTTCGGCCTTTAGGGTAGTTCTAGTTTCTAGTAGTTTTGTTAGGAGAAAATGCGTATAGGGTAGTGATCTGCTGAAAAGTGCCTTCGTTTCATAATTTTTTTTTTTGTGAATCTTTTTCTATCTTCTTGTCTTCGTCTCTCCCTTCGTTCTTTCGTCGATTTTTCTTTTTTGTTTTCTGTTATCTGGCCACCCTAACCAGTCAATCAGTCAACCGTTTTCTTTTCACGGTTTTCCCAATTCATTCACCGGTTCATACTCTCCGCTTTTCTTGTTTCAACCGGACCGGACTAGTATCCAATTTTCTGTCCAATTGATTGAATCAAGGTACGTAAAACCGAACCAGTCATTGAATCAATCATGGCACTGAGTCACAGGATTGTGGTTCAATCGAGGTTAAACAGGTAGCAAACAGATCATGATTAAAATAATACAATTTAAATAAAAAGACATTAATTATTAAAACATTCAACTAAATCCAACCACTCAAAAGTCTAACAATAATAAAATATAACACTTTAAATATCTATCCTTACAATTACAACCCTTCAATCTCAAAAGTCTGGAAAAGAGATGAAGATAGAATTGGAAAAGAGACGAAGATTGAGCTAGAGAAGAGACAGTAGAGACGAAGATTGAGCTGGAGAAGAGACAGAAAATTAGAGACTGAGCTGAAGAAGAGATGGAGACAGCAGAGAGGGAGATAGAGCTGAAGTTTGGAGAAGACACAGAGACTGAGCTAAAGAAGAGACATCGATTAGGTTAGGGCGAGAGAGGAGAGACACAGACGAAAGGCCGAACTGAATGCTGTTTGAAAATCTAAATTGGACTTAGCGTGCTTTACCTTTAATTTTTTATTTTTTTATTTCAGTTTCACTTTTTTTTATTATCTTATTTCTGAACTCAGCGCTCTAAAAAATTAAAAATAAAAAAATCCCCCAAAACAACATCATTTTGAGGGTTTTGTCTGAAAAAATAATAACGCAGTCAACCCATCGAGTTATCCGAGTTATACTGGGTTGACTGGGTTACACTGATTCATTCCCTCATTGGTTTAGGAGTAAACTCAGACCAAACAAAGGACCGTGTCATTGGTTTTTGGGTTAACCTGCCCGGTCTGATCCGGGTTTTAATACCATTGATTGAATTCACCAATTCGATTTTTAAAACTCTGATTAAAATTCAAGACATTTTATCTGTAGGGTGAAGTACCAGATAACTTGTGCCGTTTCTTTTTCAACTATTTGAAAA